TTTGACAGCCATCCTTCCACTGAAAACATTTCTGATGAGGCTTCTGTGAACAGTAGATGGATCAACTTTGCTGGACACAAGATTGGATCATCCCTTGAGTTAGCTGCCTTGTTATGCTTGAGTAATTTATAGGTCAGTGTTACAGTTTTTCTCAGTCGCTTTGGTGCGTTTCTCAGATCAGAATTGAAATTCTCATAACTATTAGTTCAACCTCCGCAACACTCAGTCATTTGTGCACATCATAGTAGCAATTTCTCCTCTCTCTGAACAAACTGCAAATGATTTTGGACATGAATCAGTTGCTTCCATACATTTCCCTGCTGCTTTCTGACATTTCCATTTGCTTATGTCATGTCAGTCAAAAGTAATCATACCTATGGATGCTGAATAGTCATTCCCAATAAAACTAATAGTCATACATCCATTGCTTGAGTCATCACACACAAAATTGTTGAACTAGTTATCACATGCCAAATATTGGCCATCTGTCAAGCAAATCCTATACCTTTCTGTATCATTTTTCCTGGAAATGTCTCCGAAATTGAACAATTGATCTCGGGTGAATTACAGCTGTCACTCATGAGGAGGCATGTGAAAGTTTAGTTGTAACCAATGACAAACAACTTGTTCACTGTCAATTATGGATGAATCCTGTGAATCCCCAATTGGCAAGCATATATAAACTGCGCAGGAGCTAGTGTGTACCATTTCTACACTTCTGTGACACAAAATGGAAGGTCAGCACCGTGGAAGAGGGGTGAGGATGCGGGGAGGAAGGGGAAGGGGAAGAGGGAGAAGAGGCAGATATAGGCGGATTCCTAATGAAATAAGGGCTACAATTGTGGACCATGTTGTCAATCACGGCCTCACCATGGAGGAGGCTGGTCGAAGGGTGCAACCCAATATTGGAAGAACTACTGTCAGTTCAATCATTCAAACATTCCTTAGGGAAAACAGGTATGCAAACAGTAATACACTGTACTGTACTGTGCCATCTCAGACACATCACATGTTACTGTACTGTATTTGCAATTTCACAAAAAGTTCACTCTGCACCACATAGGATTGTAAGACAACCTCGTGGAGGCGGAAGAGGGTCCCTTTTTACCCCACAGCAAGAAGAAGCCATTTGTGCAATGGTCATTGCAAACAATGCAATAAAGCTGAGAGAAATACAAAGCGCTGTCATAGAGAATTACACGGTATTTGGCAATATTGAATCTGTTTCAATTTCAACAATTGACAGAGTACTCAAGAAAAATGAAATCCACATGAAGCAACTGTATAAAGTGCCATTTGAACGAAACAGTGACAGGGTGAAGGAGATCCGTCACCAGTATGTGCAGGTAAAGCTGGTCTTCTATGTTCTGCACTGCAAACTGTTTTACAGTACTTCGTAGTTTCATGCAGTACACTTGCAATTCCACAGCACATACTCTACAATGTGTTTTACCAAATGCATGCATTACTGTTCGTTACTGTACACAGGCATATTGTGACATTGCATTTCTGTCTCTCTCTAAAGCGTGTACTGGAGCTGGAAGCCAGGGAAACACTGCACACATTCATATATGTTGATGAGGCAGGTTTCAATCTGGCCAAAGGCAGAAGGTGTGGAAGAAATCGCATTGGACAGAGGGCAACCACTGAAGTCCCTGGTCAGCGCGGAGGGAATATTACCATGTGTGCAGCCATCTCAGACAACGGCGTCCTCACCCATATCCCCCTTCTTGGTCCATACAATACCCAACATCTCCTGACATTTTTAGACACTCTTTACAGGGACCTAGTCCCTGAGAATGAGAGAGGTGGAGGCCAACTCAGCAAGTATGTTGTTGTCTGGGATAATGTCCGTTTTCACCACTCCCATCAGGTCAGAGAGTGGTTTGCAGCACATGACAGAATTCTGGTTGAATATCTCCCTCCATATTCCCCATTCCTTAATCCAATAGAGGAGTTTTTCTCTGCCTGGAGGTGGAAAGTTTATGACCGGCATCCACATGAGCAAATGGCCCTGCTAGCAGCCATGGATGCAGCATGTGACGACATCACAGCAGGGTTCTGCAGAGGATGGATTCGCCACTCCAGGAGATACTTTCCTCGCTGCATTGCGAGGGATAACATCTGTTGTGATGTAGATGAAAATATGTGGCCAGACAGACAGGAACGTCTGGATGTGCCAGAATGATTTACTGTACTGTTACATGTGCTGTTTATTGTTCACATTAGTGCACAGCTCTACCAAATGGGTGATTTTATGTTTACATGTATTCTACAGTGCACAAGTGACTGTAGCATATTTTTCTTTTGCACAATTCTGTAGGATTACAAACACTTCTACACAATGGAAATGTGAAACGTACGTATTCAGTGTCTCAGTTACTCCCAAGACTCCCATAACATCTACAGTGACTTTACTGCACATTTCAGATGGCTGTACAGGTAGGCCATAGTGCTGTCGTCAGCATTTTCAGGTGTCACCAATTGTTTTTGCAATGGGAAACACTGAAATTATAAACTGTCATAGTGGAAACATGACAATGCCATTTGACTATCTTGTTCATAAAGATGGTGTCAAGACTTTTCATTTTGATGGCACTGACAGTTTCATTGACATGGATACTTGCTTTTGAGGTATGGATAATCAATTCTGTGCATGTGACGTGCTTTTGCAGGCTATCCACTAGGTTTTGCAGTTTGCACTAATTGTTTTGGGAAATGCACTAACTGCTGTGCAAATGTTAGTGGTGTTCTGAGGAACGCACCAAAGTGACTGAGAAAAACTGTAAAAATGGCTCCTAATCTTGGTCTTCTTTCTTGAGTTTCTGCTGCCTGAGATATTCACTGAGTGTGTCGTGACCATCTTCCTGACGTACTCGTGAATGTTCGTTGTCTCATCCAGGACTGTGGTACTGTGTGTTGTACTCATATCCCCATCGAGAACCTGAACCTGGGACGCTTTGGTTTCAGAACTGAAGAAGCCTCTTGGATGAGAGGTGCAATGTCACCTTCTTTCCAAGGTCTTTGACCTGGATGACTGAGAACCTTGACAGACAACATACAGGAACTTGCACCAAGATGTAAGTGATCTGGATGAGTACCAAGACCAGCAAGTCTAGCATAGAAATTAGTGTAATCTTTGCTCCATTTCTGGCCTCCAGAGAAGGACTTACACTTGTAGATCAACTTTTTTATTGTAATGTGTGATATTTTTTAATGTCATTGTCTGTAGGCTCTCCAGTTGTGCACAAAAGGTGGAAGGATGTGCTTGTTGTTCTGCCTTTTCCGGTGTGTACGGTGTGTGCCAAGTAACATACTCCAGGGATTCACTCTCCCACAGATTGACACTGGTCTGCAGTGTAAGCAGAGAGAAGAAATCAATAATATACTCTTGGTATAGGTCAATGTCCTAGACATGACCGCACAGTACAATATTTGCATTCCTTGAGTATAGATAGATAGATAGATAGATAGATAGATGGATAGATAGATAGATAGATAGATAGATAGATAGATAGATAGATAGATAGATTATACAAACTCTGTATCATTTAGTATTGCCATGTATAGTTGCACACGACTCAATAAATATCTGCACCTATTTTCTATCTTTCGAGGAAAATGTAAAGAAATGAGTGGTGGCTCAACACATTTGCACTGTACTGAATTTAACTATATAGTCTCTTAGCTTTCAGCTACTTGAACCATTTCTTAATTTGTTGACCTTATACTGTTTATTCTCAGCTGTTGTATTCAGTTAAACATTTATCAGTTATGGTTAATTTCACAACTTTCATCTCTCCCACCTTCTCCAACCATTCTCTGGCCTACTATCACAGATAACTTGCTACATGGGTGGTTCTTCAGCTAATAGGCCACCTTGACCTTGCAGGCTATAAAAGTTACCCCAGATGACCTGCCTGATGTATAAGATTCTTGTTATCGACTTCAAGTCATTTGATGACACACTTACTACTAGTTAATTCACTACTTTGAGCTTCTATTCAATTTTAAATGTTTAGGAAGCCGTTTTTAATGCTATTACCTTCCATACCTTTTTATTTCTACTTAACTAGATTTTCTTTCCTTCCTTTCTTTTTATTTATATGTCCAAGTAGGTGACCTAATTGTTCTACTGAAAGTGTAAAAGCACCCCGTTTAGTTCCTGGACTCCTGGGTGACAGTCACTGGCTTAGTCAATATGCTTACTTTTACAAACAGCGCCAACTGCTGGAGGTAATAAAGTCAATTTCTATTCGCAAACATCACCGTGCAGCGCTGCTGACCTCCCGAGGCAATATGTGACGACAACCCCTAGATGGCAGCAGCGTCCTGTTCCTCCAGGACTGAGCTGCAGCTGTCCTGTTGAACTGGGTTAGATTTGTGGGGCAAATGACCTCATGCCGTAGCATCCTCTTCATCACAGAGGAGATGAAGAGAGGATGATGATGTCATTCTCTGCCACGGTCGTTTTCACCCTGTTATAACTAAAAGCGTGGGTGGATTGGCATCACTGAGAGAAGACACGCGACACCTCGCAGCAGCTAAAAGCAAACCGGGAACTAAATGATGCAACACCAGAACTCAGTGACCCTCGTGGACATGTGAAATCGTGTTTTCCTTCGTAAGAATTTCGTTAGAAAGGCCTGGACTATATGAGAAAGTCAGATATGTGAATACAACTTCACTGTGCCGACATGGACATCTGTGCCTCTCCATATCACATCTGATGTAATATCTGAGCTTGAAGCAATTAAAGCATAAATTTCTATGGTATGACTCCCACGCAACCCGCATCAGCACCGCATTAAGTGACGCCTGGGACTGCTGATGTGCTGTGGCGCACACTAAATTTGGGTGGCGCACACTGCACCAAAACCCCCCGAAACGGAATCCCAGGATATCCCACCCCCACCCACCCCTCGAATCGGAATAGCCCTCGTTCCTCAGTCCTCCTATTCCCCTCCTCTTTTACCTCCGCCTTCTCTCATTATCACCCCCTTCCTCCTCCTCCTCCTCCCCGGCTGTCGGCCTCACGTCCCCAACTCGGGAGCGCCGCCGATCGGTCGCCAGGATTTTCCCTTCTCGGCCAAAATGGAGGAGAAGGTCTCTCGCTTAATGAAGAGAGCACCGACTATATGAGCGGATCTGCTTCAATGATCGGCATCAGGACCCGCTTTTGCTGATATAATAGTTCTTGCAGCAACCTAACACTTTGAGGATATCTATCGCTATTTCCGCACAAGCGAGCGCAGCCATGAGCGCAGGAGAGGGGCTAGATGAGGCTGGGAAGGACGCGGCAGACATAGCGGCGTTTTTCAAATCCGGTAAGTCAGAGAAGGGGCGAGTCTCCCTCTAGGAGACCCTGAGCTATCGGCGTGTTCACTGGTGGTCTGCCACATTGTTGCCAAATATGACAAAAAGCAGTGATGGGCGAGATGCAGAGTGCGCGTCGGACGTGCTGGAGAGATGCTCACAGTTTTGTAGTTATTTACCACATTGTAGTCAACCACTCAGTTGTCATGTCGCACCTTTTTTAATGACAACCACCAATCATACCTCCTGAAATATGGGATTTGATTATTATGCAGTGACCCCATTTTGGGTTGGACCAAGCAGCCTAGGCTACAACAAGGTGTGGATGTGATAGAACTAGACCGTGGTCTCCTCGGGCTGAAGGAGTGTTTTGATGCTATACACACACTATCCATCACAAACCCCACCAGATGTGACTCGATCCTTTTGTAAAATGTATTTTCCATGTCTTCAAATAGAGAGAAACACGGGAAGCCAGTAGATGGGGATCTTAGCGAACCTCTCTCCTCATCTTATGCACTCATAGGCTAGGCCATAGATGCATGTATGGGCAATAGGTTGCACTCTACAGCGTAGAGCCTCCCTGATATGATGGCATCATCACAACAAACAAGGATTGGCCTGCCAGCCTTATCCCTCACCATGTAAACAAATAATGTAAACACTATTTATAGGTCCTAGAGGGCTTTAAGCCTCCTTGATATCAGCCATGCATTAAGATTTAGGTGTCTGTGGCAAACATTTTTTTTAATCCGTTTTTGATCTGTCATTTCAGATAACTAGAGTGTCCTTACTCCAGTGATAATAATTCCTTATGTGTTCCACTCTATAGGAAGATCTGTTTTAATCTGTATCTTAAACAGACTTAACACATTCATGATTAAATGTTTTCTTTTTATCCTAATCAGCCTTTATAGCATACCTCTTTAATTGAATCTGACAATCATTAGGCTGACAGTCCAGTATTGGGAGCACCTCTGATACACAACAGCACAAGCAGCTGTCTCTCTCTCTCAGCTGTTTCTCTCTCTGACACCTGGTGCCTTGGGGTCTGCTGTCCACCACATCCACTTGTAGGAACACACACGCTCACACACACTTACACCACTTAAGTGAAAATTATTTGATAAAATGCAGCAGCCTTGCGCTTGCACGTGCGCACCTTTTAAACAGCCGATATAAACCCCATACCTTCTCCTGGATATTGCCTTCCCTGCCAGTCAGACAGTAAGGAATGTTGTCAAAATGGATTGTATTCAAATCCGTTGTTACGGTTGGTTGGATGCCTGCCAATGTATTTTCCTATAGCTGTGTTGTATCAGGCTGGAAAGTTGGCTCAGAGTGAAGTTGGGCTGCTTGGTTGTTTATATAGCAGCAAATGCAGTTCATACAGTATTCATGATGGAGACAGAAATAGGTTATGCCCTCAAGAAACTTTTACGAGAGCCTATTATGAAGAGAAAGTATGGAAAAAGAAGGTTCTGGGAAAACAACAAAATGCATTGTGAATACTGTCGGACAGTTCAAAGGTGAAAGTTACGCTTTTCTTTGCTTTTTGAGACTTTGAAAAATATGCCCAAAAGCACAAAATCATGTGCACTCAAATACATTAATAACCTGAAATCAATCTGACATTGAAAGTGATATATTTTTACCATTTAGCAGTTTCCTCCTTTCAACACTCTTATATTAATTTCTATGTACATCTCCTTAAAGCTGATTGATTCATTCATCAATTTCCCTGACCTTTCTTTTTATGTTCTAGTTCTATACCTTTTTACTCTCAGCCCAATGCAAACATGTCAATTAATTAATTTGTTCCTGCATGCATAGCTTGAATCCATGCCAGCCCGTTCCATGTTGAAATATTGCCAAACAGCTGCCCATCCTAGTTGATTCTGAATACCTATTTTGGGAATTTGTGTGTGTGAGTGTGTGTCAGTGGGTGCACTGTGGTGCCCTAGTTAGTCAGTGAAGGAAAACAAAAGGTAGCAGATTCTTTTACTGAACCAACACTAAAGTGATCGATGGGCTACCTGAACAGCTTGGTCACTGACTAAGAGTCTGACTTAGAGAAAGACTAACGTCTTTATGATCTGGATAACTATTTAAGCTTGTACATTATGTATAAAGCTGGTGGACTATTTGGATTGAAAGTGATTTGAGTTTCATCAACACATTTACATCCACATCCAGCCCTGGTGTTTAATTCGCCTCACCTGAACGGATAATATTCTCACTGGTCCTCGAAAATACTCAGTGTTCATCTCCGCGTGATTATTTTCAGTGAGCAGATGGTGCTCCATCTCTGAGTCCCACACTGTTGCTGTGGATCACAGCTCAGCCGCTGAGTCACTCTCCGAGGTTTCTTGTGCCATGACTTAGACTCTAATCTCGAAAATGTTGCAACTGGTCAAAGATGAGACATATTCAGCTGCTCAGCTGTTCGAGCATCCGTCAAGATTTTCACCTAACTGCAGAGAAAACCTCATAAGGCATGGCAGTACAATAACACTCCTCATAGTTATATTTAGTTGTTCCCTATCCTTTATATAAATAGCACAATCAGTTGACTATCAGATCAAGAATATGTATTAATACTCCTTTGTTTCCAGTTTGAATTTTGGATTGGACCAATTATTTGAAGTAAGGCATCATGGTGCAACAGCTGATTACTCGAAAACGTAACTGTGAAAATATTAGGTCATTTGTGATCAAGGCAAGTTGCTCATAACTAAAGATTTCCCTAGATATAGAAGTCAGGAACTGTTCCATATCTTTATCTGTCTAAATGAGCATGAAAGTTGTATGGATGAGATCTTAGTTTTGAACATGTAACTAATGTAAATAAAGATAAAAAAGCCCAAGAAACATTAAATAAAAGAAAGCCATCATATTAATGTGAAAAAACCATGTCAGTCAAACTCAATAGACTGAAATCCTATAAAATATCAACCATTTCCTGTTTGAAAATGAGTGGGTGGAGCAAATGCTTATTCATTCCCTATTTAACTCATTATATGTCTGTTCTTGGTTATACAGTCTAATATATACATATACACTATATGTAAATAAATAGAGCTATGTAATACACAGTCCCTCATTGCAATAATATATGTGTAACTGTGCACTGATCTATAATAAGTTACCTACGCCTATCTAAATATATAGTTTTGTGTAATATATCATTATTAGGGCTGGGCCATATCATACCATTCACGGTAATACCGGTATAATGTTGGGCAATGATAAGAAAATGAAATATCGCGATAGAATATGGGTAAAATGCGCATGCACAGTGCCTTTGTTTACATATGCACATGGCGGAAAAAGCATGGCGGCGATGGAGAATGAGAAGGGCGAAAGCGGATCGTTGAATGAAACGGATGAACCAGAATTGGTTTGTAAAAATGCTGCAACTTCAGTGGTGTGGAACTGGTTTAGCTTTCATCTGTCAGATACACAACAAATCACTATTTTTGCTAGAGCATGCTAGCGGGCCGTCGTTATTACCATATTTTTTTTTCAAAATACGGCACACTTAAAATTAATCCTTTGATTTTTCTGAAAATCAACAGTGCCCCTTAACGATTTTATGTGGTACACGGCGCTCGAAAATCTGTCAAATGTTTTAGTACGACTTTGCTAAGCTACGAAGCCGCACTGCTTGATGGATTGTCGGAGCATTACGGCTACCGTAGGCAGGAGCCTCGCGAAGTGATACTGTGCTTCAACATAATATTACCGTATTGTGTGTGTATAACCTCTTTTTAACTTGTGGATATTATACATGGTTATGCTGAGGATATGTCGGTCAATTTCCACTGGAAATGCCTTTTGGTTAAACTGTCAGCAAGGAATTTGCTTTTGCACTGTTAAATTTTTATATAACTTTAATGCACATCAAAAACAGCTGCTTGTTTAAGTAAAAATACATTGATGGGGTTTTTTTTGCACTAATAAAGTTGTCGAGTTGTCAAGTATTTTGTCTAGTGTCAATTATATCGTCAGTTATATCGTTATCGCAAATTTTCAAATGCATATTGTGATAAATATTTTGGTCATATCGCCCTGCTCTAATTATTATATACAATTATCCTTATTTAATGTGCAATACAACCATTAGTTTGCAACCTAAAAATCCACTCATTGTCAAAATGAGTAAACTTGAAGTGTAGGTCTGTCAAAGAACAGCACTCTTTGTCATGTATATAGTTATTTTCCTGGGTTTGCTGTTAATAATGTAAGAGTGCGTGAGTAAAGTTGGGATTTTAAACTTCTGTTCATTCATTCATTCAGACAATTATAGAACTGGGGTTGCAGTGCTCTGAGTTTGCAGTTTGCAGTGAGTATTGCATGTTCTACATTACAAGTTGTGCAAAATGCAAATCATTATCCAGTTTGACTTCTACAAATATTGACCAATAAGTGTTATTTCATGCTTAAATGACTCTATTCCATGTAATGTCATACATACAGCATGTCTGTCATTAAGATGTGCAGCCAATTTCTAATTTGGCAGATTGCTGAATAGAGTCTTCTGTATTCCATATGGCCAGTGATGTGACACTTGCATCACTAGCAATATGAGCCAACAAATCAGATTATGTTGCAACCCATCATATCTTCTGATTAACCGCTTTCAAATACATTAAGGCGCTTTGGGGCAAGCCTTACTGGCAAGACAAAAAAATAAAACTGGGATGATGGTATATTATAAAAGGCATTAATTCATATAGTCTTTTGAGTGATGCTAAATGAAGTTACTGGCCCTGCGCAATACTATTATTGTACAGAGCTGCACTGTGAAACTCAATTGGCGTAAAAGCAACCAGATGTATGTTGGAAGAAGGTCCAATAACTGTCAAAACATCTTGCATTAGAGCCATATTCCCAGTCTGCAGTCAACTACATTGGTCATAGGACTGGCATCTTTAGTCATAATATCAATAAACTATAGGGTTTAGTACGGTAGGGCAATATGGCCAAAAATATTTATCATGATATATAT